CCACGAGTAGTTGTAAATTGGGTGTGTCCATAGGAGGAGGTGAGTTCAGAGTCTGCCTACACTGCCATCTTGACTTCTACCTCATCTGTTTTATCTTGAAGTCTACTTTGTCTGATATAAGTATGGTAACACCTGCTTTCTTTTGTTTGCCATTAGCTTGGAGTATTGTCTTCCATCCTTTCACTCTGAGTCTGTGTTTGTCTTTAGACCTGAGACGTGTTTCTTGGAGGCAGCATATTTTTGGATATTGTTTTTTAATCCATCTCACCACTCGGTGTCCTTTGACTGGAAAGTTCAACTCATTTGAATTTAAAATGATTATTGATATATGACGGCTTAATGTTGCTATTTTATCACTCAGTTTCTGGTTCTTCACATCCTTTGTTTCTCATCCCGTGTGTTTCAGACTGCCAATTCAGTTTGGTAGTTCTGTATGATGGTTTTCTTAGTTTTCTCTTTATTTATCATATGTGTCTCTGTTCTGTTTATTTTGTTAGTGCTTACCACAAGGTTTGTATAAGAAATGTTGTAGATGAGGTAGTCCATTTTCTGATGGCCTCTTATTTCCTTAGACTAAGTCGATTCCATCCATTTCCTCTTCCTCTTCAGTTATTATTATCACAACTTGTGACATCTTGTGTTTAAAGTTATGAGTTTATATTTATTTTTATTGTTTTCCATCCCTTAATCATTGGTGTTATAATTAAGTGTTTGCTAACCTATTCTGATAGAGAGCTGCAATTTTTCTGATTTTGTCTACCTATTTTTCTCCTTGCTCAAAGTTTTGTATCCCTTTTATCTTTTTTTTTTTTTTTTTTCCAGGAATGAGGGCTTTCTTGAGCATTTCTTGTAGTGGGGGTCTTGTGGCAATGAACTCCCTTGGCTTTTGTTTAATTGGGATAGTTATTATTTCTCTATCATATCTGAAGGATATTTTCTCTGGATAGAGTATTCTTGGCTGAAAGTTTTTGTCTTTCAGAATTTTGAATATATCATTCCACTCCCTCCTAGCCTGTGAAGTTTCTGCCAAGAAATTGGCTGAGAGCCTGATAGGAACTCCTTTATATGTTATTTATTTTTTTTTATTTTTTGCCCTTAATATTTTTTCTTTATCATTGACTTTTGCCAGCTTTACTACTATATGCCTTGGAGAGGGTCTTTTCATGTTGGTATATTTAGGCGATCTATTGATTTCATTCACTTGTATGTCCAGCTCCTTCCCCAAGTTTGGGAAGTTCTCAGCTATTATTTCTTTGAACAAGCTTTCTGCTCCTTTTTCCCTCTCTTCTCCCTCTGGAGTACCTATAGTCCTTATGTTGCATTTCCTAATTGAGTTGGATATTCCTCAGAGAATTTCTTCATTTCTTTTTAGTCTTAGGTCCCTCTCCTCCTCCATATGGAGCATTGTTGCATTCCTTTCCTCAATTTTGCTAATTCTGTCATCCATATTGTCAGCTCTGTTCTTTAAAGATTCCAGATTTATCTTGATCTCCTCCATTGTGTTTTTCACTTCCAACATTTCTGATTGATTTTTCTTTAGAGTTTCAGTCTCTTTCATGAAGAATTTCCTGATTTCATTGCATTGTCTATTTGTATTTTCTTGTAGTTTGTTGAGCTTCTTTATGATAGCTATTTTGAATTTTCTAACATTTAGGTTAGAAATTTCTGTGCCTTGCTGATTGCTTTCCTGGTGCTTGTCATTTTCCTTCTTCTGGTCTGGAGATTTAATATATTTTTGCATACTGCTTAAGGGTTGGGCTTATTATCCTCATTCTGAAAATATCTGGTTTCAGCTTCCACCTGCTGCCACTGGGTGGGGGTCAAGAGCTGTGTATTATGAGCCTGCCATGATCTGTGGGAGCTCTGGCCAACCAGTTGTGCTAGTGGTCTGGGCGGGCGGAGGGGCTCCTTCTTTTGCCTACTCTATCCCGGTGGCTTCTTGGTCTTGCCTCACTTTTTGTTCTTCTGGGGTGCTAGCCTGATGAAGGCACCCCCACAACAGTTCAGTACCCTCCGTATGGGAATTTCTCACAGGCTGTGAGAGAACTTGGAGAGCAAAGGTTTCTCCACAGAGGGAAGCCCCTCCCCCCTCTCTCTCAGAAAGCCGAGCAGTCCTAGTCCCAAGGCTGCTGTCAGTGGGGAAGGAGAGGAGTTCTCCTTACCTCCTTCCACTTCCTCTAGGGGTACCTGTATCTCCACCTTCCTATGTAAGGCTACGTGGATCTCTCAGACGTCTTTTGTCTTGTGTGAATGTCCTCTGTTGGTATATGAATGTTCTTTTTGTTGTATCTTAGGCGGGGAGAGTCTAAGTGGGAAAGCTCACTCTGCTATGATGCTGATATCCTAAGCATGTCTTTTATTATGTTTTTCTAGAACAAGTGAAAACATAGATATATACCTGAACTTGAGAATGGTTATGTCCAGTCCTTTGTCCTTCCCTATCAACATGGAGTTTCAGTGGAGTTGAATTTCAGAAATACATATACAATGATTTGAAATAATAAATTACCTGCATTGGTGGATTGTGGACTAAGCTTCATAGACGTGTTGGTGAGACTACATTACTCAATTTTATATTTGACAGTTTATAATTTTTTAATCAATAAATATATTTACAGCAGCATGTGCTGGTGCCCATCAGGTATTAAAGTGTTGGGATATAAGACACTTATTAAGTTGTTTTCTCCTAATTACTAATAAACTGAATTGTTAGGGATTTCCTTTGGCCTATGAACAATATGCTAAATTACTGCAATGCTAAGGGCTCTGTGAACCAAGAAAGTTTGAGACCTCTGCTTTAAAATAATCCCAGACCACTTGTTCCAGGTATCTTCTGCCATGTCCCACCTTCACTATATGATGGAGCTGTGCAAAACTGCCATGTTCTTTTAAACCTCTGTGCCTTTCCTCAGTCTTTGCTCTCTTCCTGGAATATCTTTCTCCATTTTAATCACATGTAAAACTATTCACCTTCAAGACTCAACTCAAAATTCACTCACCTCTGAAACCTCTCCTGGTTCATTTTCTACCACCCACACTCTCATCTTGAAACTCCACTAGAATGATGTAACCTCTGCACTATGCTGTCTGTACAATTATTATAACATGAATCACACTGTCTTGTAGCTCATAGATATTTGTCTTCCCATTTAGACTGTAAAGGACCAGAAGAACAGGGTCCAACTGTATGGACTCAATGCCTGATTCAGCGCCTTAGTAATCATTCACTTAGCTTTGCATAGATTTAAAGCATTAGGATTCTGTGGCAGCAACTCATCATAATTATTTTTGGTCACCATTCCATAGGCTCCTCTTCTAGGGCCTGGTCCATTTGGTGCCAGTTTTCTTTTTTGTCTTGCACATCTGCACTCTACGTTCTGTTGGTCTAGCCTTTGTCATAGACATAGGAAGTCTGTATAGGCTTTACTTGACATTTTAGTTGAATTAATGTCTCGAAATTTATCCTCATATCTCTCCTCCTCAGCCAAAACCAGTTCTAGGCCCAGAGAGGTTCTTGATGAGGAGATATAGCTGAGGTACTTAGACTCATTTTTTTTTCAGTTGAAAATAAATGGAGAAAAATAAAGAGAATACTGCAAAATATCCATGCTCTTGTTATCCAGAATTGGCATTTTTGATATTCTTACCTTCAAATATTTTGTTTTATAGTAGGATAAAACATTGAAATAAAAACATTGAAGGAAAAATGGAAGCATCCATTCTACTCTCATCCTCCCAAGAGGAAATCCCATTCATGAGGAGAATTTGTACTTTCCATTCTCCTTTTTAGTTTTTACATGTATATACATGCATCAATTTTTTTTTTAAATTGTAGGGTGGGATTTTTTTGCTTTTTTTCCTAAATTTACATAAACAAAACATTGTCTACTTGCAAAGTGTTTTTTCCTTCACCATTGTAATTTTACTGTGTTGTATTCTACCTTAAGAATGTATCATGTTTTATTATTTTATTACCCTACTCAAAATGGGAGTTATTTACTTTTGTCCTGGTATAAAAGACATGCTTCAATATTTCCTAAAGTTTACCTTTACAATTGCAGTTCATGGGTCCTGGGTGTAGATATTTCCAGTCTTACAAGTTACTGACAGATATGCACAGAGACTTTACTTCTCTTTTTGACCATTTGATATTTTAATATTTTTGAATTGTTGCCAAGTCAATAGATCAAAATCATTATCTTATATTTGTTTAATTTTATTTTTTTCTAAATAATAGTAATATTGAGCATCAGTACAATCATGTGTTGGCAGCTAGGATTTTCTTTTCTGTACAGTGAGCATTTTTCTTTTATTTTGTGTCTTCTTATGGATTTAAGATTTGTTTGAGTCTGAGTTGAATCTTCTCATATTTATATTGCAAATATTTTAAAGCATTTTTGCTTTTTCTTTAGTAAGGAAGACCAGCCCTGGAAGATCCGATGCCAATCCTCCTCTTTTTGCTGAGGAAAATTGGCCCCAGGCTAACATCCATGCCCATCTTCCTCTACTTTATATGGGACGCCACCACAGCATGGCTTGAGAAGTGGTGCATCAGTGTGTGCCCGGGATCTGAACCAGTGAATTCTGGGCTGCCGCAGCAGAGTGCGGGCACTTAACCACTGGGCTACCGGGCTGGTCCCCAGCATTTTTGCTTTTTATAGTGTTTTTGTGATGTCTTTTTCATTGAGAAGTTTTCCTTTAAACCCACGTATCAATTTTTCTTTTTTTCAGTTGTATGTGTGTTTGTGTATGTGTCTTGTTTAGGAATCCCTTTCTTTTATAGGTACATAATGATACTCCCTTTTTTCCCTAAGCATTATGATCTTGTTACTAAGATTTATTTCTTTCATGTGTCTGAGATTTTTATGTTGTATTAGAGTGCTTTTTTCCCCATGTTGAAAACTAACTATATCAATACTTAACAAATTGTTTCTTCTGTTTTCTACTAATATTTATTTTTACATATGCCATGTACAAACAACTTTTTTATAAGTGTATCTATTTCTAGATTATCTATTCTGTTCCCTTAACCTATTTGTCTATTCTTATACTAGTAAGGCAAAATTGTTATTATTACCACTTTATAATAACCTTTATTACTTAATTTTTAGAATTATCTTGACTATTCTTCACAATGCCCTAATCCATCTGTAGTTTAATGTGAAATTCCTTGATAATTCTGGTTCAACTTTGATTGGACTTATATGATATTTATAAATTTGGCTAGAATAAAAATCTTATTGATATTGACTCTTCCTCCCATGAATATAATACATCTATCTATTCATTCAGGTCTTATATTAAACTTTTACACATGGTTTTATAAATTTCTCATTAAAATAATTTTTGCGTAAGTTTCTTCTCCAGTTCCTTTGGGATTTTTTCTTAATTTACATATTAAATATATGTATGGGATCTTTTCTTAATTTATGTATTTGAAGAGTTACACATTAAGTTGGTCCCCCTTACCCGCAGTTTCACTTTCCATGGTTTCATTTATCCAAAGTCAACCATGGTTCGAAAATATTACATGGAAAATTCCAGAAATAAACAATTCATAAGTTTTAAATTATGTGCCTTTCTGAGTAGCTTGATGGAATCTCACGCATCCTACTTCATCCCTCCTGAGACGTGAATCATCCCTTTGTTCAGCGTATCCATGCTACATGTGCTACCTGCCTGTTATTTACTTAGTAGCCATCTCCGTTATCAGATCATCTGTCATGGTATGTCCATGCTTGTGTTCAAGTAACCCTTATTTTGCTTAATAATGGCCCCAAAGCGCAAGAGTAGTGATGCTGGCAATTCGGGTATGCCAAAGAGAAGCCATAAATTGCTTCCTTTAAGTGAAAAGGCGAAAGTTCTCAATAAGGAAAGAAAAAAATCACATGCTGAGTTTGCTAAGATCTATGGTAACTTTTATTACAGTATATTGTTATAATTGTTCTACTTTATTATTAGTTATTGTTGTTAATCTCTTACTGGGTCTAATTTAAAAATTAAACTTTCTCATAAGTATGTATGTATAGGATAAAACATAGTATCTAAAGAGTCCGGTACTGTCTGCAGTTTCCGGCATCCACTGGGGGTCTTGGAACGGATCCCCCACAGATAAGGGGGGGACTACTGTATGTGCAAGATTGTAATTTAATTCTGCATATTTATTTTGTTTCCAGCAACCTTGCTGAATTCCCATATTAGATCTAAAAATGAATTTGGATATTTTATTTCTACAAATAGTTACAATTTAATCTTTTATTTCATTGCTTTAGCTCAGTAAAATACCTCTGTGTGGTCCAGAAACAACAACCAAAATAATAATCATGTAGCCTGAGTTCTATTATTTTCTGGGGTGTTTGGAGTCTGCTCTTAGGGAAAGAATGGGAGAGCAAGACCCAGGAACTAGGCCTGATCCTTGCTCTTCCTGTGCCCCTAATTCTCATAACTCTATTTTAGATTTTCTGATTAACATGTCCATGTGTTTCCTCCACAGAAGTAGTGAAATACATTCCAGGTTTTTCTATCAGTCCATCAGGCTGTGTGCTCTGTTTTCACCTTGCATTCCGGCAGTTCTTGGGCTTTCAGCTATAACGCATAAGTATTTGCAAGTTCTTTTCCTGACATCCTCAGATACTGGGCTTCTTTGTCCTATCTCCAACAATCCCAATATATTAAAGCCCTTAATTTTGAGCTTTAAAGACTAGCAGACTCTCTGCTGCTGTTCTTATTCTAGATTATAAAATAGAAAACCCAGAACCACTCCCTTCTCCCATCTCCTAGACTTTTGGATTATCAACTGGCCTACCCACTTCTGGTGATAAAAACTGTATCTGTTGCACCCCTTTGAGCCTGGTGGATACCTGGTCACTGGCGACCATGATGAGCTACTGAGAGGGAATTTCTTTCACCCGCAGGAGCCTGGACTCTGTTATAAGAAGGTGTAAATTGTGTATGTTCATGGTCACTAACTTTTATATGAGGGACACAGACATCCAATCAGTAGCATCACATGGGGTAAATTTAAAATAGGGATTATTGAAGAAAAACACTTATAAGTGAGACATAGCAGAACACTCTATGTCTCATTATCCTATCCTTTGACACACTAAGGAAAAAGTTCCATAGCGATCTATATATTTACGGACAAAGGGGAGAGATTGAACAATAAAAACTACCTAGACAAGAAAGAGACCTATTGGAAATGCATGTTCTGAGGCTCAATAGTGTTATTATCAGTAAACTCTTCCTTTGAGCACACTCTGGCTTACTAAGTCAGTCTTTGCTAAGCTTCTGAAATGCAAGGGTAATTGAACCTCAAGGGACATCCAGATTTCTGTCTCCTTACTAATACTGTACTTCTCACAGATTGACTTGGGTTTTGCCTGTTTTTATTATTTAAATGCTTTAAAGATATTTATTTAACATGATTTAGTGGAAAACAATCACATATATATATACCTTTTCCTGGCCTTTAGACATTAAGCTGAGTGTAGTTCCATAAGGACTATCTTCCAGTCAAAACCTTGGACCAGAGAAATCCATCTTGCACTCTCATTTCCCAAAAGGCCTTCCGACACATTTTCCCGTCATTCAAAGATAGGATACAGCTTTTTGTTTCCTTTTTAATTTTTTCAACAGCATAGCCTACTTTATACAATGAAATTAAGAATAATTTTATATGACATTGCTTAAAAGCATCAAACATAATTTAATTATGCCATTAATATTTTGGATATTTTATTGAGATAATTACTTAGTTTCTGTTTAATATTCTTATCATGTAGGAATATTTTCCTTTTTTATAGCAACATACCAACTTAAGAGGTGTGAAAGACCAAGGCTTTATTCAAGAGGACTATTCAGTTCATATATGCATGAATTTAATCATGATGCCAGAGTAAATTACAGATGTATTGGGAAGCACAGATACATACGAATGGTCTGCATAAATGGGAAATGGGATTCTGAACCAGACTGCACAGGTAAAATTTGTTTTAAAGATGATGTAGATCTTGTTGCTTCTTCGTCAGAAAAATTCTCTTAAAATTAGTATGTTTTTAAATTAAATTATTTATTGTGACATACCATTTTTAAGTTGAAGGTAAAGTTAGAAACTACTGGTAACACTGTTTTCAGACAAACATTATCATTTAAGAACCCTGGCTTTCCGGTAAAGATGATGGAGTAAAGCCATTTTACTCTACTGCAGTGTCTCAAAACCATAAAATAAAAAAAAAATCATAAAAATAGAACAAAAACTCAATCTTCAATGATATTCAGAAACAACTAAAACACAAATTAAACACTGTGAAGGATAACTGACAAATATTGTCAATTCTGGACCAAAAGTAGAAAGTAGGCTTGGAAGAAAAATGTATCTGATTAAGATATTATTTCCCTAAGAATAAGTCTCACATTCCTCAAAGGCTTATTTTCAAATCATTTAATTTGAGCAATAAGATTATAAATTACAAACAATTATAAAATGGACACCATATTAGATTAAATAAACCAGATATAGAGAAGACAGAGTGCTTCCAGAGAAATGACAATAAGATAAAGTAGAGAAGATTGTAGACTGCAAACTTCTCACTAACAACAAAGAATCCAGAAGAAAACAGTAGTATCTTCAAAGTGCTGAAAGAAAGTAATTGGCAACTAATTATTCTATACACCAATATTGTTCATTAATGATTACAAATTAAATTTTCAAACGTAGGAAAGACTAACAGAATTTACCAAAGCTGCACTTTGAAATAAATTGTATAAAATATACATCAACAAGATGAAATACTAAATCTTAACAAAAGAGTATCATGTCATTAGAAATTGCAAAGGGAAAAAAGTGGAAAATATTATTAATTTTAAATAAGTAATAATTTCAAAAAGATAATTTGTTTAAAACAACTATGATATTTTTATTTTTATTAAATATTTTGTTTGTTCAATATATTTTTATTTCTATATAAGGAAGTAGAATATTGTTCTGAGAGTTTCAAGAATTTTAAAGCCTTTTATATACCCATGGTATGTTTACTCAAATTAACAAATCGTTGCACCACAAAATAATTCTAAGTACTAAAACTCTATAGATCACTTTCTATAACCACAAAGAAATAATATTTAAAAGTAATAATAACGTTTATCTACTCCCCTACCCTTCATTTTGTGAAATAATTCACTTCTGAATAACCTAATGATATAGTGTTTAAAATACTAAGAACTACGTTATGATTATAAAAACACATAGTAAAAATCTATCGGGTGCAACATAACCAAAATTGAGAGTGACATTCATAGCCTTAAAAGCATTCATCTTTTAGGAAAAAATAAGCTTGGAGATAAGAATGAAACTAGGCATGCCACAAGAGTAACATTAAACTGTAAAGTTTAGTTTATTTTATTAAGAAAAGAAAGAAGACATTGTTACTTATACTCTAAAACCAAGGATACTCAAGATGAACTATAAAATCATAGATGTTTTTTAAGTCCTTCAGAGAGCTAAGAACACAAAGAAACTCAATGAATGAAATTTCAGAAAGTAAAGTCTCTCCAAGGAAAACAACATCACATGGCTGCTTTCACCCTTCCTGGGACAGTGAGAGGATGAGAAAGCCACCAGAGACACAGGTGTGCATAAAATAGCAGAACGTTTAAAGAACTTTTACAGGTGATGTGAAGGCTGGCATGACTATTGAAATTTCTGAGAGTTCAGAAAACAAAAATCATCTGTCAATCTTTTCCAAGGGCCCTACTGAAATCTGAGGTTAGGGCAGGAAACCTGAGATAAAGCATCCAGGAACTCTCTCTCCCACTGACCCTCAGTGTTGGGATGAGGTCAGCATGTCCACCTCTCCTCCCCTTGAGTTCCCTTTGGAGTCTTGAGTTCCCTTTCCATACACTAGTCCTTGGTCAGGCCCTTCACTTTGACAAGATCTGCACAAAGTCTCGGGGAAAAGAGATTAGAATTATGGATCCATTGCTACCTAGAAATCCCAGGGAGTTTTATATAAATTTGTCCACTTCCTGACTGCCCCCTTCTCCTTTCTAGCCTATCCATACTCTCATCTCCATTTGGGGAAAAAAAGTAGCTTTTGCCAAACGACAAAAACAAAACATCCTACTACTCTTATTCTCCAAGGATGTGTTATGCTTGTCTCAGAGAGCCACTCAAGTGACTCTGGAATAAAACATATCTGCCTATGTGGAGAAGCAGCATGCATTTAAAAAAATTCTACTTCAATGGTACTTTATTATTAACCATATTACATACATTAATATCTATCCTGTATTGTTGATTTAACACTAGAACCTAAATGTTTGTATATGAAATACAGCAGTGCATAATGTTCCATTCCTCTATTGTTGGTTGTCAGATTACTGATAGTTTTAATATTATAAAATGCTATAAAATTTACAAGAACACATTTATTAACAGTGGTATTTAGAATCCACCAAATATTCAACACGAACTAGATGAAAAATCATAAAAATTTGATTTATTGCATCAAATTGATTTTCATAAAGGTTGTACTTATAGTTAGTAAAATTATATCCCCAGAATGAGGTAGAAAACTGGGAGGGAGGCCTTACTGCAAGTTGAAAGAAGAGTCTAATAACAATTTTGAAAAGTAGTGGTGAGTGGCAGGTAGAGATTAGGTGAGGACATTATCAAGTGGCAAATATTTGTTACACAATTTGCCAGATTTGTTCTTAAGAAAGACAATAAAGTCCTTTGTTTTACAAATCAGGAATACAAAGCCCCAAGAAGTAACTTGGTCAAAATCAAGACTGGAACTTGTTTCTAAGTTCTTATATCAGTGCTGTTTTGACTAGACTATACCTACACTAGGGTGAAATTCTAAAGACAATGTCCACAATTCTGCAGGAAAAGTAAGTTGGACAACTGAGATCATCATGAATAATTTATTTTTACCTGAAGTATAACAGCAATGGTATTTACATGAATATTTGAACATCTAACTTGGTTAGTTGGGGTGCGGTTTACAATTTTTTACCATTATTTATATGTTTGAGATTATAGACAAATTCAACCTACCCATTTCCCTGCATTGGAACTTCTAGGAAGAGGATAGCAGGTAATTGCTGACTCCCAAGATTGGCAGCACAGGCCTGATGCTCATTCAAGAGCCTTGTTGTAATCCAGTAAGTATTCATCCTTGTGACTTTGTATTTAAATAAAAATGTTTGAACAAAACAGAAATTAATGAAGGACACTACAAAATACCTAAACAAACAGGAAATGAGACGTCTAAGTAGGAAAGCTTCTACATCATAAACAACATAGTAACCAGCCCCATTTATTGATTGACTGTGTCTGATATTCTCTTTTCATGTGCTCTCTGTAGCTTGTCCTCAAGCCTATGAGTCAAACTTTGCTAATCAAAAATGTACAATAACGATAATATCAGGCTAATCTTTATCTTGTTTTGTAGAGTTAGTTATTAAACCAAAACAGATCATAAAAGACTTGGTCCTATTAAAGGTTGACTGGAATAATGATGCAACTGGAATGAAATTCTTTCCTTTCACATATTTATTAAATCAGTAAATAAACAGAGCAAGTCATATAGAACACAGGAATATGCATGAGTGGGCCCAGCTCCCAGATATCTCTCTAGTTTTTCCCAGAAACATAGCTTTTGTTTAGAAGATTTGCACTATAGAATGCTATAATACCTTCCTTCCCTTGAGAAAATAAACAACAATTCAATGTAAAATTCAGGTTTCAGGTAGTATGCATGCTTTAGCTTAATTTATACTGACCTTAGGCTCTATTCAGATAATTTATTAAATATATATTATAAATTATTGTTATATTTTTAAATGTAGTTAAACCAAAAGAGAGTAGCTCATTCTTCCATTTTGGTTTTAAAAGGAAATGTATAGTGGGAGAAAAAAGCTATCTATCACTTTACGATAATCTTGAAGTGAACTGCCACTAGAGAGTAGCCTCTGCCTTGGACAAAATGAGCTAAAAGAGACTACCATATAAGTTTAGGTTAGGAGATGAGACTGTGGCTCAGACAATAATGCTTTGGCATCCAAGTTGACCATTTACAATTTTTCCCAAGAACAAACCAAGCAACCAAAAAGAAGTTAATTCCTAGGCTAACAGACACATTCTAATTATATCCATCATCTGCCATTGTCATGTTTAGAAGAAAATGCAAATGATGACCATCTTTTATTGAGATCAAGAGTTAGGTTATTATCGGGGCCGGCCCCGTCCCCGTAGCATAGTGGTTAAGTGTGCACGCTCCGTGCTGGCGGCCCGGGTTCGGATCCTGGGCTTGCACAATGTACTGTTTGCCAGGCCATGCTGTGGCGGCGTCCCATATAAAGTGGAGGAAGATAGGCACAGATGTTAGCCAAGGGCCAGTCTTCCTCAGCAAAAAAGAGGAGGATTGGCATCGATGTTAGCTCAGGGCTGATCTTCCTCACAGAAAAAAAAAGAGTTAGGTTATTAGGCAAAGTCTTAGTTGATTTCAGCATTACTGTTGCCATTTTAATTTTTTTTTGTTGTTCTAATTTGTTTGAATCACATATGTATAACTCTTTTGAATCATATGGGTTAGCTAGAAAAAAATTAAAAATTGAATTTGAAAATTATACAAGAGCACTGACAGAATAATGGATAGGAGATACACAGAGTACCTGAGAAATTTTAAACCAATCGTTATAGCACAAAAGTGCTTTTTAACCATAAACTATGTTAACATAAAGTGCATTTATTACTATAGCTTCGTATATACGTACATACATGTACATATATGTATTATTGGATGTTCATTTATATAGAAACATTATCTTGTTGAGCTGTTTTTCCTTAGCTTTTATTAATCAAAGAATTTAATTCCAATATTTTGTAGAAAAAAAGAAATCACTCTGCCCACCTCCGTCTCAGATACCTAATGCTTAGATTATGCTAACCACAGTGAATTATCACAATGGAGAAAAAGTAGCTGTTATCGATAAAGAAAATTATCTCCTTCACGAAGCACAAGAAATTGTGTGTAAAAATGGATGATGGCAGCCATTACCACACTGCACTGGTTAGTAGTTCATTTCTAAATAACGTCATTTAAAAAGAGGTTACTTATCTTCTTTCCTTTATCTAAAGAACAGTTCATGTAACTTATGGCTTAACTATTACACTACATTCTGAAGCATTAAATTGTCGTTTAGGTACCCAATTCTCTCACTTTTTTCACTATTTCTCTGAGAGATATTTCCAACAGTGATCAAAGAAGAATCAAGTTTGAGATCTCTACTAGATACTCAATTCTATTAAATATATTTACTCAATATTATCCAGCTTAGGATGTAGAATGTATAATTTGAGAGTGATCAGGGCTGGCATATACATTTAGTAATTGCTCATATATAGATGAAATTTAAAGCTATGGGACTGGATGGGATCACATAAAGAGTTCAAACAGTTAAAAAAGAAAAGAGGTCAAGGGGACTGAGCCTTGAAGACTTTGCATTATTAGAGATCTGGGCAATGAGGAGGATCCAGACAAGACTGTAGGGGAAAAACTAGGGAACGCTGGTAAAATGATTCTAGGATTCAATTACAATGTGAGAGAGGGTTCCCCCACACATACAACAAGCAAGTCTGACACCTTCTGGGTGTCCTACTATTCAACTCAATTCTCATACTCTACCCAGAGATAGCATCAGATTTCACAACTTAAAGGCTCAGTCTTAGAAGTCTGCTCCCTATTCCCACTGCACCATCAGATACCAGTCACAAGTCCAGGTTGTCACCTGTGCTTCTGACCTATCTGCTATAGATTGGAGCTTCCCACAATCCTCCCCTTGGGTTTGATTAATTTGCTGGAGTAGCTCACAGAATTCAGAAAAACATTTTACTCACTAGATCACCAATTTATTATAAAAGGATATAACTCAGGAACAGGCAGATGGAAGAGATGCATAGGGCAAGGCATGGGGAAAGGGCACGGAGCTTCCCTGCCTTCTCAGAGCACGTGCCATTCTTCCCAAATCTCATGTGTTCACCAACCAGGAAGCTCTCCAAACCCTGTCCTTTTAGCTTTTTATGGAGGCTTCATTACATAGGCATGATTAATTAAATCATTGGCCATTGGTGATTGATTCAACCTTCAGCTCTTTTGCCCTCCCTGAAGGTCAGGGAGGTGGAACACAAAGTTCCAACCTCTAATCACATGGTTGGTTCTCCTGACAACCAGCCCACCCTTAGGTAACCTAAGGGCTTTCCAAAAGTCACCTAACTGACATAACAATAGACACCTTTATTGTTCTCATCACTTAGGAAATTCCAAGGGATTTAGGAGCTCTGTGCCAGAAACAGGAAGAACAAATATTTGTTTCTTATTATAAATCAATATTAACTGGTGTCCCAGAAGCATATTTCAAAAACACATATTTCAAAATGTCATTCAAGAGGACATCAAACATGTCACAGATTGCTTAGAACTGGGCAAGATGCCTGATCATTGAACAACGGATTTAGCTACCTAAAAGTCACTGGTAAGTTAGCTTAGAGTTATTTCAGTAGAGGGTGAATACCTAATTGCAGTGTGTTCAAGATATACAGATGGCCAATAGGCACATGAAAAGATATTCAACATCACTAATTATTAGGGAAATGCAAATCAAAACTGCAATGAGCTATCACCTCACACCCGTCAGAATGGCTATAATAACCAAGACAAGAAATAACTAGTGTTGGAGAGGATGTGGAGAAAAGGGAACCCTCATACACTGCTGGTGGGAATGCAAACTGATGCAGCCACTATGGAAAACAGTATGGAGACTTCTCAAGAAAGTAAAAATAGAACTACCTACCATATGATCCAGCTATTCCACTTGTGGGTGTTTATCCAAAGAACGTGAAAACACTAATTCAAAAAGATATGTGCACCCCTATGTTCATTACAGCATTACTCACAACAGCCAAGACTTGGAATCAACCCCAAGTGTCCATCAATGGATGAATGGATAAAGAAGATGTGGTATATATATATACAATGGAATGCTACTCACCCATAAAAAAGACAAAATTGTGCCATTTACAACAACATAGATGGACCTTGAGGATATTATGCTAAGCGAAATAAGTCAGACAGAGAAGGACAAATATTGTATGATTTCACTCATATGTGGAGGGTAAACAAACACATAGATAAGGAGAACAGATTGGTGGTTATCAGAGGGGAAGGGGGTGGGGGTAAGGTGAAAGGGGTAAAGGGGCACATATTTATGGCGATAGATAGAAACTAGACTTTTGGTGGTGAACACAATGCAGTCTATACAGAAACTGAAGTATAATAATGTACACCAGAAATGTTATACATGTACACCATAATGTACACCAGACATGTACACAATGTTATAAACTAAGGTGACCTCAACAAATTAATTAAAAAAAGAGAGAGAGAAAATGTAGGGTGATAAAGTAAGATCAGGGAGGATAGAAAACAAGTAGGTTTGCTCTACAAGGAATAGAGAAATGAGGCAGTAGCTGGAAAGGGGGTGTGGATGAAAGAAATTTTACTTTCTTGAGTTGTGACATCTTTAGCATGTTTGTGTGTTGTTGAATGATTCAGTAGGGAAGGAGAAATTGATGATACAGAGAAAAGGGGACAATCCATGGAGGAGGTTCCTTGCCTAGTTTTAGGAGGAAGGAATTTAGTGCCCACGTGAAGGAATTAGTCTGAGAATAGAGCAGGGGCGGTAACTCAATTAAACAAGAGTTAGAACAAGTTATTTGGTATAAGATTATTTATTTGGCCATTCTATATCTACATCTTTGATGATATATAGGGAGATCAATCAGTACAAGGTACTGTGTCCCAGCCAATCTTAACATGAAGTTGAAACATTTATTCACAGAGAAAGATGCCTATGATATTATTTGCAGTCAAAAAATAAATGCAGAACAGTATGTCTTTAATTCATTTCAGTGAAATCAAAAGTTTATGATCATATATTGATATGATCAATACATGCTATTGCATAAAATGCTATTGCATGCTATTTGCATAAAATAACAGTTGTCCTGGAGAAAAGAAATAGGAAGGGAGTTATTTATTTTTATCTTTCCTCCTGAAATAAAAACTTTAATCAAGGGAGGGAAAAATAGACCAGAGGTTTACTCATCTGTCTGTTATGTTTTAAATGAAAACTATTCTTAATACTTATATGCCCTTATAGTACTTATATACTTAATACCTATTTCATATGTATTTTACTTTAAGGTGAAAGGAAGTGCTAGAATATTTTTTGGTTATCAGGTTGCATGATAGAAATTCTATAATGAGTTATTTGAGTTCTCAGAAATCATAGAAGATATTGAAGATATGATATATGGAGCTTTATTTATATTGTTTCATTTAAACTACATATTGATTTTCTCTCAACACGTAATGTTATTTTCCAGAGTCTACCCAATAATGTGGCCCCTTCCACCTCTTAACAATGGAGATATCACCTCATTCCCTTTATCAGTATATCCTCCAGGATCAACTCTTGGGTACTATTGCCAACCCTTCTATGAACTCTGGGGCTCTACAAGTGTAACATGCAGAAATGGACAGCGGTCAGAACCACCAAAGTGCATGGATGAGTTCTTCATGTTCTCCTGGAGTCTGAGGTTTGATATTTATAGTATAATTTTTATGGACTAATTTCACAGGATGATTTTTACTTAAATTTCATTCAGCTGAAAACTTGTCTGACATGTAAATATATAAGAAAAAATGTTTGAAAAGTCTGCTTTAAACAAAGTGGAAGAAACTTTCTTTAAAAATTATAAATAAATTTTTAAGATACCTAAATACACCAAGGTGCATTATAAAGCTCCATAAATAAAATCCAACGTTATTTAATCAGGGAACCTATTCTCACACCATTAAATATCTTCATGTTATAAACACCTGAGGGTTTTTCACGGAGACCATTTGCAAAATATTGGTCTAGGAGTTAGTTGTCATTTATTGGTACATAAGGTTCTACCTGTAAACCTGAAACCTTCTCTGGTGGAACTCTTAGTTGACTTTAGGGACATGGCCTTTTACTTGTGTGTTCCCAGGGTTTCCAGTAAAGAAGGTAGACAAACTGAAAGAGCTAGTAAGCCATTTCTTAAATCTGCACTATCCCTTCTTTTTACTCTATCTTCTTCCTCTACACAAGGACATCAATACATATGTTCAGTCTCCCCAAAACTAAGTGAACCTCATAGCATTAAGAAAAATGAACACAGTTGACACTTTATGAAAAGGAGAGTCACATGCAGGTTTTATGGGAGCTTCTTTTACTGGTCTCAAAAACTGAAAGGGACAAAATACAAAGAAATGTATCTCAATAATAATGGTAACCCCATTAAAATCTTGAACACCAGACTATTCCAGACTAAGTGGGAAAATCTAGGATTCCTTAAAGCCCTTCTATTTTCTATTCCTTAAAGGGACACCAAGTTAACAAGGACCTGTGCTTGCAACAGTTCTCAATACTGCCAACTCCTCAATCCACAGGGCTAGAGAAGAAGCTCCTTACAGTCTTGAGACCTCATCACTCTGACTATACCACTTTCTCTTATCTTCTATAGTGAACAATGATCTCGATGCTGCTGTGGCCTATATTATGCCTTAAGCCACTATTCACTTTCGTGTGAGTCCCTTTGTATGGGATATCATTACAATAATGTGGGAACCAAACTCAGAAAGTGTTGAGTCAGAATAAGGCAGAAGTATCATCTCAATGGTTTTGCTACAATGAAGAGATAGAGTTCAGAGAAAACTTGAAGGATTTAAGTTGGAGTAACTGATAAGTAGATGAATGCCAACGGGAAACAATGCTTTGAATAACATTCAAAAAAGCCCCCACCATTGTCATGTAGACTATTCAAGGAAAATGATCTAATAATTTTCCTTGGAATAGAAGATTCAAGATAGCTCTGAAGAAAAGTTTTTTTCCAAAGCCAAACATAAACTTCTGTGGATGGTTCACAGTTAGGGTATAGGGAGCAATTAAATTTTTTAATTGGGGTTTTCTGATGTAGTGTTTTAAAACAATCAGTCCTCTAAGAACATGTGGTTATAGTAGAATGAGAAAACATATAATTTGGGAAGATTGTTTAAGGCCCTGCAGGGGTCAGATTAGGGTCTTGACTTGTAAGCAAGAAAATTTGGACCAAAAGAAAGAAGAGCTAAAGATAACCTCAAAATTAGTGAGTTATGGGGGAATTCTCAGATCCTTAACATGTAAGAATTCCTAAAAATAATAAAAACTCAGTAGAAAAATTTGTAAAGTACATAAGCAGAAAATGAAACACATATGACAAATAAAAATGAAAAAATGCTTATCTACACCAAAGTAAGATTTTAATGAAGTGGCAATGTTTGATGAGGAGATGGACAAAAGGAAGAATATATATATAATACAAAGACTTGGCAATGGTGCGGGGAATTAACCAGTCTCATAGTCTCTATTGAAATTATAAACTGGGGCACATTCTTTGAAGCACAGTTTGGGAATAAGTCTCAAATTTTAAAGACACACATCCTTTGACCTAATGATTTTTATTTCTGGAAAACTAATCTGTACATGCACTCTTGCAAGTGTAGGAGAATGTATGTGCAACGATATTCATTGCCTCATTGTTGGTAATAGTAACAAATAGAAACCACCTAACTTCTATCAATAGTCTTATGAAATTGGTATTATTGAGAAGTTGTGCCTACAGATGAAGAAACAGAGGCACAGAGAGCCTTAGTATTTGATTCAAGCCACTTGGTGAGTAATTAGGTGGAGCCAGAATTCAGACACAGCAATCTGGCTCCAAATTCCATGCATTTAAACTGTATAATATGGTGGCCTCTCTTATCTATAGAAAAGTCAGGAGAAAGAAGGTCAAACTCACCTTAACAGTACCAGGACTTGTCTGTCATTTGTTATCAGGAAAATACTTGGTAATGTATCTTGGGATCCCCTGGGCATGGATAAATCTAGGTACAAAAAGTAGTTGTTTATGGTTGCCACTTCCTAGGATGGCTCCTGTAGGGGAAGAGGGAGAATCCCCCTCCGCCCTTTCCCTTAAGGTTCTTATGGCTGGCCAAATAGCTAACAAGACAGGTTAGCAGGAGAAAATAATACTAAGTTTAATAACATACACATGGGAGAAACTCAGAAATGAGCAGCTCGTCCTTCTGTCTAAGCTGCTTGCTTATGTATTGTAGCTGAAGGCAAGGAAGGTGTTGGGGGTGGGTCGTGGTTTGGGATTTCAGAGGGGAAGAAGACAATTCACATGGAGATAGAAATGCAAATATTTGTCTGATAACTATTTTCAGGGTCACCTATAGAGAATGTGGCCAGGGAAAGACAGAATTTTTGATAAGAGGGGCTTGTTGCCTTTCCTATTGTAACATCTATTTTACATTATATTACAGCCTTCATGATAATAACTCCTTCCTGAAACAGATCTTTTATTTTAAATTCTTTAGGCAGTTTGGGAGGAGAAATTCAAATGTTCTTCCTGAGTTTTCTGTGTCTTTGTTGTATTCAGCTTGAAATAATCTGCATACTGCACCCAGCATCTTGGGGTGGCCTGCTCTGAGCACCATCACTCCTCAAATTAATCCCTGGGCTTATTTCACCATCAGTGAACAACTCCTATAACAGACATTATGGGCTGAAGAGAACATGCTGCCTAGTAGTACTAGAGTGTGCTATTTACTCAAGGGAATGCTGTCTCTCAAAATGCTGAATTTAAAAAAGAATGAGTGGAGTCAGTGATCATGGGGGAAGGTAACATTGCTTTTCTACAGAAATCAAAGTGTCACAAAAATTAAGATCCACAGATGATTCCATTGTGGAAACGGAGTTCTAAAGAAGCAATATAAAAGCTGATAGAATTTTTGGTCTCATTGACAAATAGTTATCTTCAAGAATATGCTAAGTGAATATTCAAAGAGATGATTGTTTTTCAGATATGTTGTGTCTTCTTTAGTTCACTTTCTGGACTGTATGTATGATAGAAGGAAATAAACTTACTTTTACTATATTATTTAGTAAAATGTTAATACATTTGCAGTATTCACACTGTGTACATCGTGGAAACTGTTAATATAAAAAGAATCCTGAGTTAGGAAAGGAAGGTGAATGATACTATTGTGAAAAACAATGTTGTATTGTGAACACATTAAATTCATCACAGAATATTTTAATTTAATCCTACTTGATGTGCGGTTTTTAGGTAAGTAAAGCATAGTAATCAAGGGCACAGGCTTTGAAGTCCTACTGCCAGGGTCCATATTCTGGCTCAAAACACTCACTAAATTATGTGACTGTGGAAAAAGTATTAAACCTCTCTGAGCCTCTATCTCCTCATGTTAGGTCCAGGGAAATAATGCAAAGTGTTTAAAGAAGGATACATACAAAGTACTAACAACAATACCTGGCACAACTCAATAAATATCATCTTTTAATATTCTTTAATAATTTTATTTAATTCCAAAATATTCTTAAATGCAATATGGCTATTCTTGGAAAGGGAAAAAATATATTATTAATAATTTATTTTATTATTTCTTCTTTCAGATGCATGGGTAATATACAAAGAATACATGAACAAAAATAACATACAGTTAAAATGGATAAACAACAAAAAACTTTATGTAAAAACAGAGGATTTTGTTGAATTTGAATGTAAATGGCCACATAAAGCAACGACATCAACATAATCATTTTGAGTAATCTGTCAGGAAGGGAAGTTTGAATATCTCGTATGTGCATGAAACAAGCACAGTTTCTCTGACTGTATTCCTAAAAGTAATCCCACCCATATGCTATAAGTATCGATTATGTAGTCAATTCTGTAGTTATCGTTCTTATTCTTTAAAGGGCTGTTTATCTCAGTTTTATTTAGAATCCTAGATTTTCAAAAGTTCACAAATTTATAAGCTGAGACAGCAAGGCTTCACTTATTAGGAGGACTGTATTATACCTGGGCAAATCACAGTACTGGGTCTCCTATTCATATAATACCCACAGAAAGAGACTATGTGCCCTCACTTCAGTACTTAATTCATCTAACCTCTTCAAATTGTTTGAAATTAAAAGATAACTTCAAGGCTTTCTGAGTTGCGGGAGATCAAAATTTGGCCACCCTGAAATATATCTCTTTACCTTGATTAATTTCTCTGAAAGAAACTTTAACCTTCCCCCAAAGTTATGCCTAAAAGTGACAGATTGGGAGGGTTCTTGCTGAGCCCATTCTGTTCAAAGTTCTGTTTACCAAATATTTACATTTGTAAAAATATCTCCCTCTGTGTAGTGGGAAGAGGTGGGGATGACCTTATCTGTGAAAACTCTTATCAGTATGGAAGGAGAGAACTTAAATCTACATACTCTTGATTACTGTGATTTCTGTCTCTCTGGCCACATTCTCTATAGGTTGCCCTGCAAAGAATTGTCTGACAAATATTGACATTTCCCTCTCCATAGGAATTGTCTTCTTTCCCTGTGAAATCCCAAACCACTACCACCCCCAACATCCTCCTTTGTCTTTAGCTGAAGATGGTATTTAAAATGATAATTGCTGCTATTGTGTTGAGAAACTCAGTTTCCCTGGTTTCTCCCAAGTATACATGTTACTAAACTTGGTATAATTTTCTCCTGCTAACCTGTTTTTTAATTATTTGGCCAGCCATAAGAACCTTAAGGGAAAGGGTGGAGGGGGATTCTCTCTCTTCCCTGACAGACTCAACTTTGTTTCAGAGGAAATGGAGTAGTTATGGTAATCTCTATCTTTGTATTATTACCATTTCATAAAAATACAAAAACTTCACCACTTATGCTTGCAGCAAGTGTTAATAAGTATTTATAAGTCCTCTAATGTGAGCATAACTATCCATCAAATACTAAATACCCCTTAAAGGGTTAAAGAAAACTGAAATTTACTCAAATCCTAGTGTAGAGCTTCTAATATAGTCAAGAGATGATATACACACACAAAAAGGTAACTGATTATAAGTGAAAATTATTAGGTTGCAATATTGCATTTATAGAATTATCTAGATCTGTAGAAACGGTTAAAGAAGAAAGATTGAGAGGAAATACAAATGATGGCTGTAATAATTCCACATGGTTTGAGGTTAATAGTTTTAAGAAATTAGAATACTTCCCAATTCTTTATGTTTCCTGTGCTTTACAATTTTTCATGTTGAATATGTATTACTTTTATAGTCAAAAGAGAGTTATCAAGAACTGTGAT